ATATATATATATAATATTTCATTTTACTTTTATTTTTCTTTTTAAGGGACGTTGAAATAAATTTCTGCCAGGCAGTGTCGGTGTTGGAGCGGAGTGGCTGACCTGAAGCGAGGGGCAGGCCGGAGCGGCGAGGTGGCCGACCGGAGTGAGATGCCGGTCGGAGCAAAGTTGCCGACCGATCATTTGAGGTGGCCAGACGTCGAGAATGCAAACATTTGTGCGGCTTTCGAGGTGGCTGCCGACCGACTGAAATCGGCAGACAAAAAAAACTAAGGGCGTTGGCTGCCCTACGATGAAGTGGAGGAGTGCTTGATGATGGCTGTCTCGCGGATGATTAGGGAGGGACAAACATTTGTTTTCCTCATTTCAGCCATTCGGCTCTCACTCTGTTTTCCGCCGTATATGTTTCGTAGCCTCGGTCTCTCTGTATCCGTCCATGCCGCATCGCCGTCCAGAGTCATTGCAGTGTTTTCATTCGCCGATTCGGCTCTCACTCTGTTTTCCGCCGTATATGTTTCATAGCCTCGGTCTCTCTGTCTCCGTCCATGCCGCATCGCCGTCCAGTGTCATTGCAGTCTCTTCATTCGCCGTAGTTGTCGTTTACGCCAGTAGAACCTACCGTCTTGTCTCCTTCCTCCCACGTTTCCTTCTTCTAACAGGATTACGAGGGCTTATACATGTCAGTGTGAAATTCTCTGGTTTTGTGTGAAATTGTTGGCAATCCGTTCTACACGTGGAAGACTGCTATAACTAGGTGGCGGCTGCTTGTAGTGACGGGGTTATTCTTTACATTCTTCTCGGTGGAATGTCACCGTTTTCCTGAGGCAAGGAAGTGAGGCAGGCTCCCGGCTGGTTGGGAGAATTAGGTGGTGGATCGGCTGATCCCAGCACAGGTGGTTGACGAAGCGAGGCCATGGATCGAGGTTGCGGCCGAACGACAAGTAGTGAGGGAGCTTTTGTACCAGAGAGAATTCGACCGACCGATGAGGGGCCAGCGCGACATATGGAGTTCAGCTGGCCGGTGAGCAACCAGGCTTTTTCTACCGTGTCTTCTACAAACTTTCCCCGGATTTATCCCAATCTCTCACTTTTCTCCCTCCTGCGAGCGAGCGAGCGAGAGAGAGAGCGAGAGAGGGAGAGAGGGAGAGAGAGAGAGAGAGGAGAGAGGGAGAGAGAGAGAGAGAGAGAGAGAGAGAGAGAGAGAGAGAGATTCTTCTCATATCATCTATCTCGAGTGTAAGTGGACTTCTGATAGGTATCTCCCCTGCCAATTCTTTCTTCATATTTCGCTGTCGTAGTTCTTTGTGGTTTATGTCGAATTCTCTTGATTTAGCTGTTTGTCGTTTGTTTCCGTATCCCTGTGAGTCCTCTTGTTGTTGTTCTTTGATTTCGTGTTTTGATTTTGGTGGATTGATGCTTCTGCTCACGGAATCTGTTCTTCTTAGGGAGGCTTGCCTGCCATTTTGGGTCGCGAGAAATCTCTTTCTTATCACGCGATTTCGTGTTTTCTGTTTTTTTTTTCTTATACTCCTCTGTTTTCTCTGATCAGGATGAATTTGGCTGAGTGGATGGTTTTGGTTTTGCTGTTTTGTCACGAACAAGACGGGTTTTACAGTTTTCGCTCGAGCTGAAGTGATCCTTGTGCGGGAATTTACTGTCTTTTTGTCAATCAATCAGTAAATTTACCTTCTATGAGTTTTGTTGTTCTGATTTCTCATGTTTCTGAATGTTATTGAATCGTTGTGTTCTATTAGCCAGGGACCGTATAATCAGTTTTACTTATGGATATTTAGCTTGCTGTTACTCTATTTTTTGGACGAAAA